TAGTGACATGCGCTTACATAACGATCGGTGGTCGGCCCTGCCAGGCCCCGACCTTGGGCAGGGGTCCAGCGGGTTTTGTTTGGCGGGACAGGGAAAAATTTCAGTTCGATTGACTTGAGGGCACTGCGAAGCTCAGAACATCGGATCGCAAGCAAGTCGACGACCCGACACCACACTACACCATGACAACACGAGCTCCCAAGAGGCGAAAGCTGACGCCTCCCCCAGAGGACGAGGGCTCCTCCGGGCCGTCTTCCAAAAAGATTCAAAAGGCGTTCATCAAGAACGCTGCCGGCTGGAACCTCGAACAAGACTACGAAAACCGACCTCGAAAGGGGAAGAAGGCTAAGAAGGAGAGCACGAAACTGCCAATCAAGACGGCCGACGGACGCCTGGAGCAGTCGAATCTCCTGGAAGAGGACGACGATGCCGAATCCATCGACAGCGACATTGAGGTTGACGAAGATGTCGTCGCATCGTCCCCCGAGCCCGAGGCGACCAAGCCCGACGAACCTGTGATACCCGATCGCGAGCAGATCTTCGCTGCGCAGGAGAAGCTCGCCAAGTTTGCCGCCGACATGAGCGAGGAACCAGAGGAGCACTTTGGCGCATTCAAAAAGGCCATGGCCGAGTTCGCCACATCCAAGATCATGTCCATCCAGAAGCTCGCCCTCGTTACCCAGATGGCTGTGTACAAGGACATCATTCCCGGCTATAGGATTCGTCCTCTTGCTGAGAAGCAGCAGAGCGAGAAGACGTCCAAGGATGTGGAGAAGCTCCGTGTCTACGAGCAGTCTCTCATCAAGGGCTACCATGCCTACATTCTGCAATTGACCAAGAATGCAAAGGCCGATTTACCCTCCTCTAGACGAAAGGGTCAGAGCATCTCCAGCATCAGCATCATGTGCGCTTGCACCCTTCTCAATGCCGTGCCACACTTCAACTTCCGCACCGAACTCCTCAAGATCATCGTAGGAAAACTTAGCAAGCGCATTGTCGACGCAGATTTCAACCGTTGTCGTCGCGCCCTCGAGGTACTCTTCCGCGACGACGACGAGGGCCACCCCTCCCAGGAAGCCGTCTCTCTCCTCTCCAAGATGATGCGCGCTCGCGACTACAAGGTGGACGAGGCCGTCGTCAACCTTTTCCTCCACCTGCGTCTGCTATCCGAGTTCGGCGGTAAAGCTTCACACGAGAGGGTGGATTACGAGGACCCCGAGTCACTGAAGGCCAAGCAACAAAAGAAGATGGAACGCAAAAAGTTTATCAACAAGCGGGAACGCAAGGCCATGAAAGAGCAGAAGGCCATCGAGAAGGATATGGAGCAGGCTGATGCCCTCGTCAGCCACGAGGAGCGCGACAAGATGCAGTCTGAAACGCTCAAGCTCGTTTTTGCGACCTATTTCCGCATCTTGAAGATCCGGGTCCCCCACCTGATGGGCGCTACCCTCGAAGGTCTCGCCAAGTACGCCCATCTCATCAACCAGGACTTCTTCGGAGATCTCCTCGAGGCTCTCAAGGACCTGATTCGACACGCCGAGGAAGATGCCGAAGGCGAGGGCGACGAGGAGAACCCCGAGGACGAGGAGGGCGACGAGGGCGACGACTCTGAATTCGTCCGCAACACCTCACGCGAGGCCTTGCTCTGCATCGTCACAGCCTTTGCGCTCCTCGCCGGCCAAGACGCTCACAATGCCCGCTCAACCCTCCACCTGGACCTCTCGCACTTCACGACCCATCTCTTCAAATCTCTCTACCCACTATGCCTGAACCCCGACATTGAGCTCACCTCCCACTCCCTCCACGCCACCGACCCCAACGCCAACTCCAGCTCGGCCTCGTCAACACCCCCTGGCTCCAAGGACGACGGCCCCAAGATAAATCTCCAGACCACGACCGTCCTCCTCCTCCGCTCCCTTACCGCCGTCCTCCTCCCCCACTGGAACATTCGCTCCGTGCCGCCCCTGCGTCTGGCCGCCTTCACAAAGCAGCTCATGGCCGCCGCCCTGCAGATGCCCGAAAAGTCCATCCAGGCTATTCTCGGCCTGCTGCAGGACGTGACACACACGCACGGCAAGAAGATCTCAGCCCTGTGGCGCACAGAGGAGCGCAAGGGCGACGGCACGTTCAACGGGCTCAGCGACAGCATTGAGGGTAGCAACCCCTTCGCGTCAACCGTCTGGGAGGGTGAGCTGTTGCGGCTGCACTACTCGCCCAAGGTGAGGGAGAGCGTCAAATTGTTGGAAAAGAGTGTCTCAAGCATATAGCGTCGGTAGCCACGAGAAAAAGTTACGATCTTCTACGTCCAAAACACAGTGCACCCATTTGAGTTTTTTGCAACATTTGTGAATTCATTTCGTTGTCCTATGAAAAGTATTTCGCCACGTCTCACCACGATATGAGTGCCCTGAGTTGCTCAAGCCCACCGAGAAGAGGATAGTCCCTTCTTGACTGCAGGAGTGACCTGGTGGCCCACTCCCATGTATGAGCCTGGCAGTTCGACTTGACTGTGGTCGAAGTTGTTGCATTGCTGACCGTCAGCAGTGCGATCTCGAGTCTCCTGGCCATAACCAAAGATAACGTTCTCATATCCGGAACCCTGATCAAACCCATGTCTATTGGTGTCTCCGACGTGGCCCTGCTTGGCTTCCTTCCAGTCACGCTTTCGGACAAACTTCTTTTTGAGGCCGTCGCCGTCACATTCTCTCAACAGCTCGTCATCCAGGTCCTTATCGACATGACCATCGTTACGGTTGGCCTTCACAACAACAAGTCCACCGTCGGGGTCGGCATCTGCCGACTCGGCAGTGGCGGGGCAGGCTCCAAAAAGGATAGGATAAGCCTGGGCAGCAAGTTGAAAATCAGAGCACTCGACGTCATGGTACCAGAGGAGGACTTGGAGAGCAGCCTGGCGGGTCGCTCCTTGCTGGGCGGATGCGATGACGTACCGGAACAAGGTGTCTTGAGCATCAACTGCTGTATCTTCAACTCGCTTGTCGTTGTACTTGGAAGCAGATAAGCCGTACACTGCCTTGAACCCAGGCGACCGGCACTCGCAGCGTTTCTGTGGGCTGAGAGCCTGTAATTCTCTCAGCGCCGGCAGAGCATCCACGGCTGAGTCAAGGAGCGACTGGATAGTGTCTCGTGATGAATCGCCTTTGACAAACCCTTCAACGGCAGCGATAAACCGAGCAGGCTGGAACTCGTTATTGTCCTCTGGGCTTTCGTGTCTGGCTTTGTCGATGCCCAGATTGACGCGTTCCAGGGCGTCACCCAAGCACATTGGGTGGCCTTGTTCAATACCTTCCATCAAGAGACTGAACAAATCGAAGGCCGTATCGCCACCGACACTCTGGGTGTTCTGTTGAGAGATTGGAGCGTCAAGGTCAAGCAGGTCTTCTGGGTTTGGGACAGACCGATTGCGCACAGGCACAAACTCATAATCAAGATCCATCAGATCGTCTGCATGAGTCGGGCCAGCCTGAACTGGACGGTGTTCTACCTGGTCAACGCCATGAGATTCCTCGTTGTCCCGGACATCGGCCTTGCATCCCTGAGACTCGTGGGGCAACGGCTTGTCTCGAGAAAAGGCAATGTCGGAAGTGTGGGCGTTGGAGATGTCTGCCAGAGCCGTTGTGGCCGAAGGAGGAAGCGGCTTAGGTTGGGCATCGGCACTGCGAATGGGGGGATAATTGTTCTGGCTCTTCTTGATCGATGTATCCTTGTTGCTGAGCCAATCTTGGGCCTTGTTGTCTCGCATGCCTGGTAAGGGGCCTCTGAAGCCAGAGGAGACGGGATTGTTCGCGGATGTGAGGCTAGTGCCCGACGGCATACGGGGATTCGCAATACTTGCGCAAGGCACGGTCGGATCTGTCGTACAAATTCAGCTCAAGACGCTTCATGAAATCGAAAACAGCTTTCATTGTCTTACCTATGAAGGGGTTGGGAGTGCGACCAGATGGTGTTAGGCCTGGGATTTTGGCAGGCGCTCGGTTAGCAAGAACGGGGATGCTGGGAGCCACAGGATGCTTCGGTACAGCCCGGTTTCTAGAAGCTGCGTTGAGCCCCTTTTTCTTGCGGAAAGGATCTGGTTCGGGGTTCTTGAATTCCTTCTGAAGAAGGAGTGCCGCCTCCATCATTTGCTTGCGAGCTTCCGCATCCGCCATGATGTGGACTGGTGTGTTCCTACGAGACGATAGACCAAGGACGGGTAAGTTATCTGGCGGCAGATAGCTTGAGTCACACAACGGAGCCACGGTCTGTTGCAAACTGCTTGAGGTATCAAATCCGCGACAGACGTAACTTGACGCTTGGCAGTCACACGGTGTAGCTGGCAGACGTAAAGTCAGTTAACATGGCCAATATCAAGGCCGGCTTCGATTCCATGAAATCAGGATTATCTTACCTCTGAAAAGTCGATATTGGAAGCCGTTCTGAGAGTGAGCAGGTTGGCAAAAGCAGTTGGTCCTAAGCCGTAGGCCACCCAGACCTTGAGAGTGAGTCCCTGAAGCTGCTGTTGAACCTGCAGGCAACAACTTGAAAGGTGTGAGGGGCAAGAAAAGTTCCGTCTGGTTCTTAACAGCGCTGCAAGCGCTTAAGACCCGTAATAATGTATAGTTGATTGCAGAAGGTGCGGCACACTCAGCTGGCTTGCCTCATGGAAGCTGTCAACTCACGGTTGGTGAGGAAGATTAGTGGTAAAGCTGGCGCCTACCTAGGTAGAACAAGGAGAGAGGATAAGCCCCGACATGTTTGTCAATATCGGAAATAGAAGTGACCCATGAGTGCACAGAAGACTGCGGCGACAGCAACCGGGCTCTCAGGTCGCCGCTGCCTGCCTTGGGGTGCTATGCTCCACTTGAGGGATGGCATATCAAGACGAGCAGGAGGCACCGAACTGTTCCAATCTCAGTAAGGTACCTTCCATACCTGGGTAGGTACCTAGGTAGGTAAGGTAGGTAGGTAGGTCGCTCACGAATCTTCCAGGCACTCGTCGATCATGTTCCAGTGCCTCATGCACAGAATAGTTTTGACAGACAATTAAAAGTATGGCTTGCGCATATCAAATGCATGTGCCATTTCTTTTAAGCACCGATCTTTCCTCAAAGATGGACCAATGGACTTGGTACATGAGTACACCGAGCTTTGCGATTAAAAGTAGAACTCTTCGCTTTGCAGCACAGCTGTGCTTTCTCTATTCCCGAGCCTTTGTAAATGGCCTCGCATGTACCTCTTCAAGCACGATGGAAGAAGATTGGAATCATGCCGTGAGAGTTCAAGATGAATGTGACACACGGTCGTGATTGTAAGTCGGTCTCTCGAGGCGGTCTTGGGCTCAGATTCTGATTATTTATACTGGAGTAAGGCAAGGTAGTTGCTTGTCAAAAGGAAATTGAAAATCATTGATCCTAATGCATTGACCAAGTCTACAGACCTGCCGCAGATGATTTTTCTTGTCGCCTATGGTGCTGTTGATGTTGCTTGCTTACTGGGCACCGGTTTCTCTTCAGATATGAGACGTGTGTGACGGTACTGTCCAATCTCGGCTTCGCTTAACCACGGGATGGTGATAGGAGGAACACAGCCTTGGACGAAGTCGATGAGAGGCTTGGATAGAGGAGCTCCGTGGCGTATTCCCACAGACGAAACCCTAGGAATTCCTAGACTTGCACTAAGAGCTGGCGCGCATGGCTTTGAGTACCCGACCAGCCTGATCGAGTGGTTGGATGACGAGGACTGTGAGGCGACGGCCACGAGCTGCGGATAATGACTGTTGAAAGCCGATGCTTGCCCTGAACGAGCTACGAAGATCAGGGCATAAGGTGACTTTGTTGCGTCAACCGAATCGACATTTTGAGAAACATGTTCTTGTAAAATCCGCGTGATGGCAGATAAGCCAATATCGACAAAAGATGCTATTTCAGGGGCTGGAGGCTTTGACAAGGAATCTGATGTCGCCAATGCGGAGTCGCGTTTGCGCTTCGTATCCCGCTTGCCCTTGGATGCTTGTGCAGTTCTGCGATGGTGACCAAGAGGCGCAAGGAGACTGTGCGAGTGGTTAGTCGGAGTTGCCTCAAAGCAAGCTGCCCAGCTTTTCGATTTCCCCAGCATGATGTGCTATAAAGCGTACCTGATGATTAGCTCCAGTATAGCGTCTTGGTCTTGTTCGGATATTGAAGGCCTTCCCTGAGTTAGTCCTAGGTATGGCGCGGCATAAGCTTCACATCCCTGGGTCACATACCATTCGACTGAGGAAAAGGACGTGTCAACCGAGTGCACGACTTTTTTACGGAGGGGAGCGGTAGTTGGTTTCATGATGCTGTCTTCAAGCTTTTGACCTCGATGCGAACGCGGTGTAAGAGTTGGTTTCTTTTCATGGCCTTGAGATACCTGACCACCTGAATACGGTGGTTGTTGGATCAGAAAAACGACCTGGCCTATGAATAACTCACAAGAAGACTAAGGCAGTAGAAGCGATAAGCGAGGCGCTAACGCCCCTGCCCCTCTCCCCCGGAGAAGTGAACATATCAGACTCTACCTGATCCCTCATGATTACGAAAACAGATCACAAGCTGCGGGGAGCTCCAAAGTTGTGAATTCCAACGTGAAAGAAAATGGCATGGCCTACCTCATGGTAGGTACCCAGGTATATCACGGGAGCCTTTACGTGCCCCAGGGCCGCGAGCTTGGTATGTAGTGGGGAAGGCAAACAGTACACAAGTGACAGTGGCGCCCCAATGCAACCTTTCAGGACCTGACCACGAGCACATCGGTCACCCTCAGTGCCTGGACGAGCACAGGGTACCTCTGTTCTCAGCAACGTCGCAGTCTAAGTGGTCATCATGATTGCGAGAGGCCCAGTCGGCCTTTTCCAAAGATGGGCGAAGGTGCATGATGCAGTGTGTTCACTTCCACCAGTTTGGGGCGTTCATTGCCTTTAGCTCGGGCATCTGGTGTCAAGCCAATGTTCAATGCGGGTGGCCGTCGAGCCTGGTGGCTTGTGGAACTTAGAACCGTTGGCTGCGTGGTGACTCGGCATCTGGCTGCCACCTGTCTTTGCTGTTCACAAAAAAAGCCTGGATGGAGCCTGGATCCTGGAGCCTGGAGCCTGGAGTCTGGACCCGTTGATCAGTGATCCCATCTCTGAAGTAATTTTCTCAGATGGTCCTACTCAGAGAAACAATCTTCGCTGGAAGCATGATTTTCTGGAGTTCAAACTGAAAAAGTTCACTTCAGACCCCCCTGCCAGCCTGCCCGCCTTACATTACGCATAGCATAGCCCACCGCCTGCCTAGGCGCTTAGCTGGTGCTGTGGTCAGTGCATGTGAGCCACAGCTCTCCACGCCCAAGGCTTGCATCCAGGTACACTTTGGCCTGCCTGCCTGTCAACCTGCCTGAGGTGCTAACGCATGGATGCCCTTCCCCGCCCGTCACTTCAACATCACGGGCTCCAGCTCTTTCCCCAAATATTCACTTACCTGCCTGTCTAGTCACTCAGCTACCTACCTTACCTTGGGCACATTCATCTTCTTCAAAGCTACCTAACCTTACTACCTTACCTACCTTACCTACCTACGACTTGGCCTTCTTTGCCGACTGAAGACAAATGTAATGTCTGCATGCTTGGACCCCATCTGACGCTGCTCTCGACTGTCCGGGCCTCGCACGCCTTTATCAGGTCACTCACTTCTTTTGAGCATTTCAACTCCCGAGACACCCACACACCAACGCCCACGCCTGCCAGGCTGGGGCTCTGCGACCCCAAATCTGATGTAATCAGTTCCTCTTCCCAACCTACCTACCTAGGTACTGAACTTACTCGGATCACGCCCCTCCCCGCCTTCATTGCACTCCCATCCACCAGCACATCACGTCACGGCTCAGTGACAGTCCCTATCCGTACACAACGGCACACCATCTCGCAACCACCTAGGTACCTTTGTGCCCCAACGGTCCAAAGGGTAAGCAAACTCTTAATTTCATAGCTGCCTAGCGCCCCTTCCTCGCGCCATCTCTTCACACGTACAGTACCCTGGCCTTATCTTAGCCTCGTTCGAGCTCATCCCCCCTCACTTCTCGCTACACTCCCTATCTTGCCACCACTTGTCCAGCCAAACCCACCCTAACGAGCAGGACCCCCGCAAGAGCTTCAGTGCAGTCGCGTTTGGAAGATTGAATACGCGTCGGGGATACTGCACCACCCATCACCAACCGTGAACACGAGGCGGCGACCGACTTTCTGGCCCCGTTCCATCGTGTTCGTGCCCAGCTTGCTGGTGAATGCTACCCCGCATACCTGCCTGGAATGCGAAAGGCCAACAGTCGCAGTGCTCATCACAGTCTTCTGCTCTGACGACATCCCCCTCCAAGCTCATATCCTATTACATGAATCATCTACAGCCTTGCATGCCCTCACGCACCCCTTCGCCAGACAGCCGTCCAGCACCCTCTAGTGGCACACCACCCTAGTCAATCCCACATGCTAATATTGATCAGTCCTCGTCGACTCGTCTTGCCCGATCGAGTGACGACGTAGGCAACGCTGGCATCTGTGCTGAGCACCTCTTGTGCTTGCCAGATGGATCAACCAACATTATCCTCGGACGCTCCCGACCGCGCTGCCTCGTCTGAGCCTGGCCCTACACGACTCAACCCCTTCGATGAAGGACCCTTATCATCTCGTAAGCGACGACGCACATCCCACTCCGGCTCGCCCAGCCTGTCTGCTGAGAGTCCGGCCTCCGATCAACACATGACGAGCTCTGGTACCATCGACCAGGGCGATCATCTGGGACAGGTTGACCACGCTCATGCCATGCAAGTCGACACTGCTTCGGCTGAACCCCGTACCCCCGAACGACAATCATCTGGTGCTGGCCCTCTGAGCGAGCCACCTTCAAGTCGAGTCACGACAATAAATCTGCGGAACCAGCCTCACAGTGACATCAGTTCCTCCTCGCCCGTCTCACCTCACCCGGGTCACGACATTCAGCAGCTCGATGACCTTCATGGGCAGCTGGATGGATCAGCCGACGATGCCGAGATCGCAAGCAACCGCATACCGTTACCCGCCGAGGCGGATAACACCTCGACCTCATCAGCCGCCAGCACCGCCAGCTTAGACGCAGAAACAGGTATTGGCGATTTCGCCAATCCCATCTTCAGCTTCCCTTTTCATGACCATGCCGAGCCACTTCCGGCAGCAGTTTCTCGCCTCGTTCAATATTTTCAGACTGGTAGGAGCTGTCCGCTATTCCCTGCAGACACTCTATTGACCAATATGACAGCCAGTTCAGGAGAAGAAAGCGTTCTCTCCCAGCTCTGTCGATGGGTTGAGCTGTGCATCAACTTTTTCCGTCGCATTTCTGCACAAGAGACTCTCGGATACTTTCAATCTCAACCTGCATTTTGGTATGCTCTCCCAGAACTATTCTTCAGCATTGCTCTGAAACGGTAAGCATCCTTCGGCAACCAAGACTTGACTCGATGCTGAACTTGGATTGAAGGTCACTTTACCCGAGGAACAGCGTCCTGCGGGCGACCGCCAGCCTAGTCATCAACGGCTTTGCCCATTTCACTGGGCTCATCACCGCCGTTGACCTAGAGTTTCTTACCAGCTGTCGCGCGATGATGCCTCAGCTTGACGAGCACGAACCACCGTGTCCCATCTCGGCATCGCTTGTATCAGGAGTGAACCGAATCGCTCGCCGAGACCAAATGCGGCGACACAACTCTCAGGTTGCAGACGTTGAAGCACAGCGCGACCTTTTTGACGAGCGTGCTATGCTTCTGCGTGCTCTCCAGGCCTCCACAGGTGGACGAATAGGTTGCCTCCTCAAGCTCGCCCAGACTGAAGTGGCTCTCATCAAGAAGTTCCCACAGATGATTGAACACCTCGGGCCAGTCTCACAATTGGCCGCCCTCTTGATCTCAGAAGCAGCGCGAGCTCTGCGCAACCCGGCCAACCCGAATATCAATGAGTTTCGCTCTTATCTGACCATTGGTTTTCAATTCTACCAGATTGTGGCAGATGCCCTGTCATATATCATCGAGAAGCACGTCACACAGCTCAACCTTGATTCTGCTTCCGTACTGCTGAACTCTTTGACCGAGATTCTTAAGACAAGCCTTGGTGGGGAGCATCGACAGGCCAAAGACCGCCTCGACCTGCACGCACAAAATCATCCGGGGCTACCTGCCCACTACACCGCCGACGCCATTGCTTGTGAGTGGCGTCTGGATATTATGGCCAGCCTCATACGATGCAGCCAGATGCAGCTGCGCGTCATGGCGGTCACTCAGATGGGTTCCGAGTTGGTTCAGCTATGGAAGCAACATAGCGAGGACCTGATCCCGAACGAGCTCCTGACCCACGTCGCCCAGTACATCCTACATACTGAGCTGGTTGATTACACACTTGGGTCAAGCTGCCATCCCGAGATCACCGGCGAGAGCGGCAATATTGTTGGGTTTCTAGCCGTAACGAAACTCTATTCTAACGAGCAGACTGATCTTCTTTGGAGTACCATGACCAAAACTCAGAACCCTCGGGTTTCGGACGCCCTCCTCCGCATGTCAGAACCGGTTCTCAATCTACTTGATGTGGACAGGCTGGTATATTTGTGCGAGAAGTTCCAGACCTTGCCTATTGATATGTTCACGCCCAATCTGCGAACGATTTGCGAGAGGACTCTAAAGTGCATCGCACACAAATGCCGGCAGGAAGGCTCACAACCCAACTCTCTTCTCCTCAAATTATGCACTCGCTTGCTGCGCGAGTCATCGGAGCTGGCCGGTCACTCACATTTCGCGCACCCCGAGCTTCATCAAATTGCCATCACGCGGCTCAAAGATCTGATTGTACTCGGCTTGGATCCACAGACGCGCCAAGAGATCATGGCTGAGTGCGCTAGGGACATAGCATCGGCATCAGACACGACTTTAGGCAGCCTATGGTGTGTGGCTACTCTAAATCGTCCAACTGCTACGGATCTAAGGGAGGCTGTGGCGGATTATGACTTGACACGCCTCCTCGTCGAAGAGCTCGAGCATGCGATAGATGCAGGCAGGAAAGCTGGCCTATCAGCTATACTCAGCGGTCCCCAAAACAGCCCGCGGACTGACTTTCTGTACGGGATCATCGTTCACGAACCCTCAAGTCTTACGGATGACCTGGGAGCTCGTCTCTGGGACGCTCTTGTCGGCCCTCGGGCGTATTGTCCTGAAGACAGGGCCACCGCCTGGCGACTTCTCAACGCCATTGTTGCTAATAGCAAGCAAGAGAACCCATATATCACACGGTGCTTCGCGGAGATGCTTCATGGACTTCCTCCCCAATGCTTCTCGAACGGCGCCCTGCAGTTTGCGAAGTCTCTTCTTCTGCCATTAGTGGATGAGATGACAGAGGTTCTTGATGACGAGCAGGGTCTTGCACAGAAAGCGATCGAACTCATCTGGCACATGATGCTGCGCGTTGCCGACTCGGACTTGGTTGACTTGATGATCTCGATACTGGTCAAGGATGTCTACATCGGAAGCAAGGCCATTTTGGCCTACCCACACCACAGGGCGCGGGCGGTTCATACACGCATGGTCAACCGTTGCCTGGGCCAACTCGACGGCGCAGCAAGAGCAATTGAGGCTCGTGATTCTACTGAGGACGCACCGCACGAAGCCAACGACGACGAGCATGCGCAGGCCCAAGAGCGAATCTTCATACGATCTCTCGCACTGCTGCGCGAGTTCCTTAAGGCGCATCAGTCAAACCCCCAATTCGCAGCCCCCGATCTTCGTTCCCTCATGTCGCAAGTGCCATGCACTGTGAAAGGCGAGCTTACCGACCTGCAATACGAGTCTTATGACGGTGGGGGCAAGTCCGACATGTCGCCTCTAGAAATCGGAGCCGACAACACAGTGGCAACGCTACTGGCGCGCCTGCGAGAAGTCACGGGATTTGATAACTACCGTGTGTATCATCACGGCAAGATTTTTGCCCCTGATGAGGATGAAATTTCTCGCTCGCTCAAAGATATCGGCATGACAACGGGCCTGCTGTTGGTCAAGCGAGAGGTAGGAGGGGTAGCTCCTGCGACAAGAGCAAACCCTGGCGCCTCATTCCTTGAGATTGAGATTCTCAGTCATTTTGGGCAGCTTTGGAACTACCTCGACCTACAGGAACCGCTCGCTAGCGAGGTATGATCTTTCGGGAAGTGGCATCAGAGCAAAGTGCTAACAATGCTATAGATTTTCCATTTCCTCGTCAACCTCCCCGTCGATGCTAAAATCTTGAAAGCCATCGATTCAACTGCAACCACTCATCGTGACATATTTCCGAAAGGACAGTGTCACAAGTCTATATATGCAGTTTACGCTCTGAAGGAGTATCTCAAATCGGCGCGTCGCAAACAGGCCGCTGCTGTCAGTTCAGGGCGTGACGACGATCGCGGCGAAGATGTCCTTGCCAAGGCCTTGACTCGGTCTCAAGCATTAGTAGTGGCCGCTCTTTCAGATCGCGAGGCTCTGGATGACTGCTCCTCCTCCCACAAATTATTTCTTTGCCAAGAGTTGATAGGCCTCTACCTTCACATCCTGCAGGGTACGTTGAGCCGCCACGACGAGAAATGAGTCTTAGCTGACCGCAGAACAGATTCGTACTTGATGCTACCGCTGGCGACGTCAATGACCACCGCACCCGTAGCATGTCTTGTTGACATTTTGGTCTTTGCTGTGGATTCGTCACGCAATGAGGCTACGGTTGACTTGATCACGAAGACTTTCGCCTCAATCCTTCTGTCATCAACTACCGACGTCGAATTCTGGATATCCCTTCAGCAGTATCACGGCATTGCTGCCCTGATTGAGAGACTTGTCTTGCAGGAGCCATCGCCTTACGTTCGTATGGAGATTGTCAAAGCAATAAACACGAGGAGCACAGATTTTGAGAGGTATGAACAGTCCTTCCAGGGGACGTTTCTTAGCTAACACGGTGGTACGCAGAGCCGCTGTGACATCCACCACATTCTGCGAATTCCTCTGGCCTGTTTTAAACAGCCTGGTGCCCCGAGCCATGGATCTACCGCAGAGTTGTAATGAATTTTTCATCTTGACGCAGTTGATTCTCAAGAAACTCCTGGCCCTACAATCGACAGTCGTGCGTGCAAATGAGCTTGTTCATGACTGCATCATAGCCTTGACAGGGCACGAGACGTCTGAGGTATGTAAGAACATGAGCTTCTCCAAGCATCCACACTGACTGGCCCATGATCCAGCAATTGGGAAAGCCCTTCATTAAGGACCGATTAGCCAGCGGGTTGCTCAGGCTTCTTCGCTGTTGTCTCAAGGACGAACAGATACTCGAAAGCTGTTCGTTCGCTCCGTAAGACAACCTTGCATGAGGATCACAAGCTTCGTACTAACGATCGCAGCGGCTTGATTAATGAGTTGTTCTGGAGACATCTCTTTCCCCCTCCGCGCCGGCGGACGACGCAGCCTACACCTCGATCACTTTTGTCCCCATCATCCCGCGAAATGTTGTGCGAGACACTTCTCGATATCGCGAAAGGAAATCAGCAGCACAGAACTGATCTTTTGAGGCAACTAGGAAAACTTGTGATATTCGACACTCGACCTGGCGGTATGTTTTCCCACTTCCCGTATACAGCTGAGGTACTGATTTGTTGTGCAATCAAGCCGAACCGTATCAATATGAGCTGCCGATGAATTTCGACCGGGACCAGGCCGTACGAGCAGAGTGTGGGTACGCAGGGTTGCGAAATCTCTCCAACACCTGCTACCTCAACTCTTTGTTCACCCAACTGTTCATGAACACGAACTTTCGTCGCTTCATGATGGAGGCCCCCACTGGAGGATCTAACCAGGAGCTGTTGGAGGAGACGCAAATCACATTTGCCCACATGCAGGAAACCAGTCAACGATACGTCGACACCAGTCAAATGGTGAGCTGGATAAAGACCTACGATGACACCATGATCGATATCCATAACCAGATGGATGTTGACGAGTTCTACAACCTTCTGTTCGACCGGTGGGAGTCGCAAATGGCGTCCGCAGGCAAAAGAAACGCCTTCCGTGCATTCTATGGTGGTCAACTCGTTCAGCAGGTCCGATCGAAGGAGTGCGATCACATCTCGGAACGTCTCGAACCATTCTCTGCCATCCAGTGCGACATTAAAGGCAAAACGACCCTTCTTGATAGTCTTCGGGATTACGTTGATGGAGAGATTATGGAAGGAGGTAAGTGAACCCTTCAGCGATATTCCCAACAAGGCTAATTTTTCATCAGAAAACAAGTATAAATGCTCGACTTGCGACCGCCACGTCGATGCTGTGAAAAGGTACGCACCGATTTTTCTGTATCATGTGGATCAACCCAACTAACAAGCCTGACAGGGCTTGTCTTAAAGACATTCCCAACGATCTTATCTTTCACCTCAAACGTTTCGATTTCAATCTACGCACTCTCACGAGAAGCAAGATCAATGACTACTTCTCCTTCCCGAACAGAATCGATATGCGGCCCTACACTGTCGACTATTTGAACCAAGAGTCTCCGACAAGCGAGGAAGATGTGTTTGAGCTTGTTGGCGTTCTCGTTCACTCCGGAACCGCGGAATCTGGCCACTATTACTCCTACATTCGTGAACGGCCGTCGACTGCAGATCAGGAGACCTGGCTCGAGTTCAATGACGAGGCAGTATCGACTTGGGACGCTGCACAGCTTGAGGCGGCCACGTTTGGAGGTCCCGACACGAATCAGGTCAACGATGCCAACAGCGTTGCCTACGACAAATCTTACAGCGCCTACATGCTGTTCTACCAACGCTCTTCTGTCCTGAGGGCATCGCGGCAAGAGATGCAGGCTCAAGGGTTAGTGCCACCGCTACATGTTGACATCATTCCGGACCTGCATGAAGTCATCAAGAACAACAACACGGTGTTTCTTCGAAGGCATTGTCTGTTCGATCGCAATCACGCCGTCTTTGCTCTCCAGTTTTTTGAATTTATGATGTCTTTTAACAACGGCCAGTGCTCTCTTGAGCATCAAGCAGAGCGGAGCGCCATGGCTATGCTTCTCGGACACCTAGATCAAGTCGTTGGACGGAGCAAGACGAGCGTTCTCTTCCACAGATACAAGACCAGCTTGCAGACACGATTCCGGAACTGTCACAAATGCGCAGAAGCGTTTCTCGACTATTTTGTCGGGCGTCCGGAGGCATTTCGACAATTGGTGCAACGGAACCCCGAACCATCTTACCGCCTCGCAACAGGCGACATGTTGATCATTGCGCTTGAAGAAATTCGAGAACACGACCCTGCCTATTATGGTCCGGAGGCGCCGCCAGCCGACGACGAAATCCTCGTTCCAAACTCGGCAATCGACGGTGCGTTGATTCTGTTTCGAAAAATCTTTGAGAATTTTCATTGCAACCTGCGTTCGTGGAACGAGTGCTTCCACTTGATCTTGAGGTTCGCTGAGCTGGGCGACGCCGAAACAGCTGCTCTACTTCACGACGATTGGTTGAAGGACCTCATGTTCGTCATCGCAGCTGACGCCAACTACCCGGGCCTGCCGGAGCATTATGTCATGTTGGTTCGTGGTCTGTCTCGCAGGATATCTAACAAGCCTCCGTCATACGATGTGATTATCCAGCTCATCAACCATCTGATGAAAGCCCTGGAGCCACTCGTGCAAGACGACATGGTCGAGGAAGCAAACGAACGTCTCGCCCTTTATCTAGAGGACCCGTCGCAGCCGCTCCCTTGGACTTCTGAAGAGGTTAATGTACTGTTCGCCGAAGACAGGGACTACGGCGGCAGCTTCTTCATTCGGCGACTCCTCGAGATCGATCAGGAGCAACAAGATACTTGCGCCATCATTTGCCGTCTGGCCAAGGGTGACGAACACATGCAGAAGTGCGTGACTCGAGTGCTTGGGAATATGATTTCTGGCAAGGCTGAAATGCACTCCATGGTGCCTTTCCTGTGGGCGGCGCTGACGTTTGTCACCCACTGCAATGATCCGGACACGTCGCAGCAAGTACTGCAACACGTTACTCAGGCGTGCAGGGTGTTGGAGAACAACGAGGGGAAATCGTTCCTTGACTTTTTCCAGCGAGCGATACAAGCGCTGGTCTGCATGCCGCTGGCAGAAGCCAAACCGGGTCTCATGATGCACCTGGAGCTGGTACCGCTCTGGGGTCCTGGGTTGATCGGATGTGTTGACAAGCGATCTGCAAGCCTGGCTCAGCAGTGGATCGAGGGCTTCCTCGTCAGATACGAGACGCAATGGGCACACGAGGACGCAGAATTGCACGACAGGCTAGTCCAGGCTGCCAGGCAGCTCGGCGTTGGCTGCCTTCAGTACCTTCAGGAGCAGTACGTGCTTGCCGAGCGGCAAGTAGTGGGGTCGACGATCGAGCCGCTGCACAAGATGATCGTCGCCAGCGAGGCGTATTTTGAAATAGACATTGACGGCGGCGTGTCGCGGGAGGGGTTCCATCACCTCAAGGAAGGCGAGTCGAAGACATGTTGAGCACCCCAAAGGACCACGACGTGCTAACTTTTACCTGCAGGGATCCTCGAGTCGGTAGAGCGTCTGTTGATCGAAGAGCTGGATGAGGACGGTTCCGGTATGTCCCCTCTGTCGTACTGCAGCGAGACGGATACGTTGGAGTCGTGCGAGGCGACGCGATGCTGACCAGGTCACCAAGACTGGGAGGACTCGTCGTCGGATCAGATGAAGAGCATGGCGGACGTTCAGCTGCGGGCTCTGAGTGGCTGAAGCACAGCAAGTCACACAGCTGGGGCGATGCCGTTCCTGTTCCTGGCGTCCCTCGGCGGGCATCTGAGAGACAGGGTGACGTGGCGGGGAGAAGAATAATTAGAAAAGAGAGGCCTGGCACGGGCTACATCCGGACGAAAGAGTATGCATGAGGGCGCGTGGGTGTCAGGCGTTTGCGTTTTCGTTTGCGTGAGCGCTTGCGATCGGGTCCCTGGTCATGGACAGCAAGAAGGACGATCCGACTGGCTGGGGACGATATGAATTCCATCATGGCAAGCGACGACTCGAGCATAGGTTTTGAGAGCACATGGCAGGGTCCCGCTCTGGATCCGCCATGCCGTGGGCCTGCTACCAGGAAGCCCTTTTGGTAAAGGGGGAAGGGGGCCAAAACGATATGAGAAATGACAACTGCATCTTGACCCAGGCGGCTGAAGATGAGCACGTGTTGCCGTGCCATGATTTGCGTGCCGTGATTTATTTGTGGTTGACATGTTCCTGTTTACCGCCCAGCATGGAGGAGGCGAGCAGAGTGGCGGCGAGCTAGTGAATGTGTCTCGATGAACCGACGTTGATCATGGCATGCTGCAGAGTGTGGGGTGAGGAGGTCGCTACGTTGTCTAAATTAAGCATCCTGGAGGAAGTCTGGCAGGGCATGCAGGAACGACATGGATCTGGAGGGACGGACGCTTCATCTCTGGGCCAGATGGGGGATCGATTTGCTCGCAGCGTACAGAGAGAGTGTGTGTGAAAGAGGAACAAGTGAGAGCTAGGTTCCGACTAGGTTCCGATTAGCCGGCATCGTGAGGCGAGGTTTGTCTACCCTTTACGAGGAGCGTTTCTGCTCAGAACAGCACCTGATGGAGTGGGGGCCGTGAGGAGATGGGACGGTGATGGTCGAATGGATGGAGCACGGGTCCTGTATGGGCCATATGAGAGCCAGAACTCGACGATATGAAGCATAGGTACCTATCCAGAGTCAATCGTTGGTGGTCGATGGTCGGGTTCACCATCACCAGGCTGTCGGTATAGCCCCTCTCTTTCGGCCACCCCCAAGCCCAAGGGAGCAAAAGCAGGCACCCCACCCACACAACCCCCCGGCGGAGAGATTTCTATTTTGGAACCTCGCTGCACTCCCCCCTCCTCCCCCCAGCATACTCTTCCCAGCTCGCTCCCATTCCCCCATCTTGCCCATGCCCATGCCCATGCCCCGGCCCCTCCCCCTGGCTTTCGCTCGCAAGATCGACGCTAGCACGGCCTCCCGTTGACGGTGACGGTGACGGTGACGGGAGGGTCTGACGGAGCCAATAGCTGGCACGCCCGCCGTGCTGAGCCCAGAGCCAACTACCGAAAATAGACATGCTGTAGCCGCCGGGCCTGAGAAGGGGTTCAGGGGAGGGGAGAGAGAGTGGAACGAGATTGGGCGCGAATTGTCCCCCCAGCAAACCACAACGTGGACTGCCCCCCCCCTGGCCAGTCGGCAATGCGTGCGTTGTTGCGAAACGGGATTCCCGAGGTTGTGGGATACACTGATGACCGAATGGGCCCTCTGCCGTGGAGAGGCGGGTCATGGTGATCTGCCGGAACGCTGCCTCCCCCCGGCCTGCACCTCATGCTGGCCGACCCGAAGAGAATGACACGAGCCCCTAAAAAAAAAACTTGAGCTTCTGTTTCATGTTGCTGGCGCTTGGTGGTGGTGTCCCCTTTCGGCAAGGCCATGCTGATGCTGGTGCTGATGCTGGTGGCTCGGCTTGGCTTGGCTCTTGTGTCGTCCGAAGGGAACACGGGATGATGGGGTCATGAGCGACGGCGTTATGCGTGACGACGCTGCGTCACCGTGTCATGGCAGAGTAAGTGGCCGGCCAAGCTGGGGATTTGCATGTTTCATGTTGTCCGCAGGCCCGGGGAAATATAATCCAGACAACATCTCTCCTTCGCTCTCTCTCGCGTCGACCGACGGACCATGCATGCGCCATGTCTTGATTGAGCCTGCGAATCCCTTCATCGGTTTTTTTTTTCAACGTCTTCTACTGCGGGTGTCCAGGCGTCTTTCTCTTCTTTTCCACCCCTCCTCTCCCACACATTGAGTGCAGCGATTGCCTCTACCTTCCCTCAGGTAGTCAAACACCATGGCTATCAAGTCACGCATCTCCTCGCCCCTCGAGGCCGGTCCCTCCATCCTCGACGTCCAGCACTTACCGCCCAACCTGACAGAGGCCCTCGAATACGCCTCCCACCGCCTCACCCGCAAGGGCATCCACACAACCCTCATCGTCCTGCGCAGAGACTACCAGCTGCCCCTCGCCAGCGCCGACGGCCCCTCGCCCTGGTCGCCAACCCACGCCCGCACCGCGAGCGCCCCCCTGCGCATGCCGTCCTTCGCCACGTCCCCCATGGTCGCCTCCTTCAAGAAGCTCGTGCGCACCGGCAGCGCGACCGCCGCCTCGCGCGCCGACACCCCGCGCCTGCGCTGGCCCCTGACCCCCGCCACCCCCGCCACGCCCCTGACCGCCTCGTCCGCCGGCACCGACGCCGGCCACGGGCCCATGGCCGCCAACGCCTTCGGCCTGCGCCTCGTGCTGGCCCATGTGCTGACGGACCGCGAGGAGAGGGTGCTGCGGCAGACGATTGAGCGGGCCGAGAACAAGTTCCGCATCGGGTACGTGCCGTCTCTGTCTCTGCTGCGCTTCGGCCCACGTATACTACAGTTTGAGAAGAAGGCAAGACTGACAGACACAGGACGGAATGGCTGTCGCCCGCCACCGACGCCGCGAGCAGCGGCCTCGCGGCGCCGCTGATCCGCCGCTCCCTCGCCCAGAACGAGGTCCTCTTCGCCTCCGACGGCCTGACGCTCGTGTCGCTCGACAGGCTGTACACCTTCAAGGCGGCGCTGGCGAGCTTCGCGCGCACGGGGTCGCCGCTGCGCCTCGAGGACGCCGTCGACGAGCACGGCGCCTCGTGCTGGCGCTCCGCAGCCGCGTCAACCGCGGCGAGCTCGTCAGCACGTACCGCTGGATCGGCCTCGGCGAGGGCGCCCTCGGCGAGGTCGACAGGATGTACAGGCGGGAGTACGGCGGCGTCGGGCGCCGGGGCGGCGTCGCGGGCCTGCGCGTTGACGGGGACGAGTCGGATGCCGAGACGATCATGGAGGACGAGACGGATGAGGTCGAGGAGGAAGAGCGGTCCGAGGTCGTACTGGTGACAAAGGACGAGCACGCTGGACACGATAAGCCCGACGAGCCCGACGAGCCCGACGAGCCCGACGAGCCCGAGGTCCAGATTTGCGTGGCCTTGGCGCCGCTGAAGATTGGCAAGCCGCCGTCGCCCAAGGCGGCGCCGGTGCTCAAGCTCCAGACGCAGTTTGACGCAAAGGTGTTCCGGCCCGTGGCCCGCGGCATCGCGCCGCAGCCGCAGCCTGAAGACGAGGAGCAGCTGACGGCGCGCCCAGGCCGGGACAGCCGCCAGAACCAAATCTGGAGCCCCGTCTCCATCGCCGAGGTGTTGGGCGACGAGGGGAGGACGGCGCAGAGGCTCGGGCCCATGACGCCAAACGGGTACGAGGACATCTCGCCCATCACGCGAGGCGAATGGGGTTTCCTCATGGGACCGGGCGGCGCCCAGAGCGGGAGGACGGCGGCCGTGGTGACCTGTTGACGCCAGGACCCTGAGTGTCCGTCTGTATTTTGTATTGCGTTCAGCCTGTTTTCCCTCTTTTTCTTCTTCTTGTCACGACATTCACGAGCATACCCATTTAGACGAGATTGTAGCACTCCGGAGAGAGAGGAAAAAAAGAAAGTCTTTCGCAAGGCGACATTTGATTCATAGCCGGCCATTACCTGTGGGCATGTGAAATTCATGAAATGAGGGGGTATCATTCTCGCCATCCGCCTACCATCCGTACCGGCTCGACGCGTCCTTGCGATTGCTCTTGCCCTTGGCGAAGCTCTCCTCGAGCGCATCGCGGTTGTTCTGCACAGCATTGACGAGCTGCCGGAGGTTGTGCTTGCCTGGCGCGATGGAGCGCACGGGGTTGTGAGTCTGCTCCTGGCCCGAGGCGCGCAGATCCTCGTTGTGCTGGTACTCCTGGTCCGTGTTGAAGTTGATGACCCTCGTGGCTGCGGCACCCTGGGGGTTGCTCGGGCCGCCACGGCCAAAGAGCTCGCGGCGCTCGGCGGCCGAGAGGTTGAGGTCGTTTGCAATCGTGTGCAGCGATTCCTTGTCGGACGTGGGCGCCGTCGTCGGTGCCGGGTGGTTTGCGTAGGGCTCAGCCTCGTCTAGGTATGGATTGTACGCACGCGCGGCGGCCTCGGTCTGGAAGAGAGGTTCATAGGCTCCTGACGCTGACGTCGTGCTCGGAGCCGGGGCGGGTTCCGGTTCGCTGTCGAGGGAGAAGAGGGATATCTTCTTCGGTGGCGGCGCCGGCCCAGCGTCCTTGGCCTCCTCTGCAGATGGTGCTGCAGCGGCCGGCAAAGGCACTGCTGCTGCTGCTGCTGCCGGTTGGGGCAGCTTTTTGGCCGACTTCTTCTTGTTCCTGGCAACTGATAATGGCCGAAACATCATGGGTTTGCCGACCAGCTTGACCTCCTCTTCAGGCTTCATCGTCTCCGGTATGGATGGTTGAGGCGCCGTCTTGGGTGGCGGCAGCGAAAGGCCCGAACCCTGACCCTCCCCGCCAGGATCTGCACTCGGGCTGTCGCGACTGAAGCCAGCTTCGGCGCTCGTCTTGAGCTGAAAGACAGGCCGCGACGAGCTGCTGCTGCTGCTGCTGCTGCTCAACGCAGACGGTCTTTTCGCGGCGTTCTTGGGCGCTGGCAGCAGCGAGCTGAAGCCGGCAAACAGACCGCCGCCGCCGCCACCAGTCTTGGTGCGCTTCGCTGGAGGGCCATCATCGGCCGAGGCAACGTCTTGGCGCTTTGTTTGAGGGAGGTTGACGACAATCTTTCCGGGGTTGGCGCGGTTGACGACTTTCTGGAAGGGCTTCTTCGAGTTGGGTCCAGGTGCTGTTGGCGCTGCAGTCGGCTGGACAGGTGCTTCGGAATCGGAGTCCGAATCAGAGTACTCGACCAGAGCCATGGTTTCGAGTCAATGTAGCCTTGAACCTGGATCAGTCTACTGCCGGCTTCGGTTTTGGGGTTTTTGGGGTGGCTTCGTAGTTGCAGGAACTTCGTAGTTGCAGGAATGCACAACTTAGTGCTAACCAGGCCGCTCGCAGGTTCCAAAGTGGATGCAAGGCTACTGACTGCCTTATCGCACTGTCACGACGGCGTTATCAAGCTCGTGTGGGTCCGTGCATGTCGACATGCGCGACTACCATGTTCGCTCCGCTGGAGCTTCGGCGCGGGGGTTTCACAAGGCTGGAAACGATACCACGAGGGTTGTTCCGCCGCATCGCCAGTCACATTGCAGGACCTCTCTCCTTTACCTTTTGCCTTTTGCCAGTCAAACAGTCAAAACACGGCTTGTATCTTTCCTCTCCCGCATTCCGGCAATGCGAGGTGCCTTCTCTAGGCCTTTACCGACAGCGCGACGTTACCCCCCTTTCTCCATACTCGCCATGCGCCCATCGTGAGTTGACCGATTGACCTTCTTGTCCACCCAGTACCTACGAATCAGGGACATTCGACACAGCCTCGGCCTTTTGCAGCAGCCATGTCGGTCTTTCAAAATGAAGAGTATGTTTAACCCCACGGCTTCTATCCTCGCTGGCCTCGACTGATCATCGCAGCCTGGTTGCGTACCAGCTTCGTTGCGGCTACCTGACGGAGATTGCTGATGGAGTCGGCGAACGACTGATCACGCTGAATGACGGCTTCATGAAATCCTCTGACTTTAAAGCCGTAGGCTGGCAGGCCAATCCCGACTTGAGCAAACGATGCTACTCCCCCCCGATCCCAACCGCCATCGCATCGGAATACTTCCAGGCTCCGCGTCGCACTGGCGTGACTCTCGAGGACGAACCTGACGAAGCCGGAATCCTGACAGGCGGAGGCACCGATACATTTGGCCCTGGCTTGGCCACCAGGCGGAGGCGGCGGCGCGAGACCCTTGAGGACGACGACAGCAGCGACCTCTCCGATGAAAGCGACGACGACGAGGCCACCCAACGAGCGGCGCAGCAGATCAGGTTCGCCAAGATGCCGGTCAGGGCACGAGCCGGCTCTAGTCCGAACCAAACCTCCACCATGCGCCAAGCAGCCGCCGTCACGTCCTCTCCGCGCGCGGCGCGCGGCGCCCGTCGGGGATCGCAGTCCGCCTTGGAGGTCGTCAAGGAGAGAGCACGCCGGGACACTGTCACAAGCAGCGAGATATCGTCCGACACGGAGTTTGACGCCTCGGCGTTCCACAAGCACAGGGAAGCAGCCAAGGCGGCCACCAAGGCCGTCAGGATCCAGGCCCGAATCAACGAGGAGCCTGTCGAGGGTATCAGGCGGGCCAGCACCGACCTGCTCCCCGAGGAGGAGGAAGACGACTCGGACGCCTCCGACCTGTCAGGCGCTTTCCTGGAGAGCATCGACTCGGCTGGTATCCTCGATACGGTCGAGCACCCGAATCAGGCCTCGCCAGATCGGCAAGTCGTCGGGACACCGCCGCGCCAGTTTACTCGGACGTCCACCATTCGCAGGTCACAGGCTCCCCCACGGGTTCTCCAGGCGCTTCCCCCTCCCCGCCCCATGAGTATGATTCGACCCATCAGCATGGTTCAACCGAAAGGAATGCTCTCTGCGGCTCTCAAGGCTCGTAAGACGAAGCCGACAGTCCCCTTCGAGAGGTTCGCTAGCCTCTCCGGACAAGGAGAGAATGCCCCTATTGCGGTGCAGATCTACCCAGCCTATTCGAATAATCCAATGAAGCCATTCGAGGTTCTCATCCGTCGCATGGTCCACCATGGCGAAGGGGGCGATCGACCAGTCACAGTGGCCGACCTCATCGGGCTCAGCCTCTGGAAGTACAATGATGAAAAGAGAGAACCACCCATTCCGAGTGATAAGACCAATATCAACTGGTGGACCTTGAGAATGGTCGAAGAGGATGGCGAGGTAGATGACGACTTTCCCCCTTTCGACAGAACCAAGGCCCTCACGTCCTTCACCACGGCCAACAACAGGGCAGCTGGCCGAATGCGGGCCAACTCCAAGACCCACGATAACTTCGGCTTGGTCGAGGCTTCGCAGGAGGAGTTTGAAGAGAACCAACTCGCCACACCCCAGGAAGAGGAGGAGGAGGCGCCTGCCGAGGAGGCCGCCCAAGAGGACACGACGCCGCGCAACACACCGCAGCCCACACAGACATTTCTGCCGCCGCCCACGGAACCTCGGCCGAACCCCGTCACGAACACGACGTATCGTCAGCAGCAGCCTGCGGTATTCATGGACCAGCCGACCGCTGCACCAGCACCAACGCCGAACGCGACGCGAGGCCAGCAAAAGCTGCTGCGCGTCCACCTACACTCTACCGACATTGCTCCCGGTCAGCTGGTCACGCTTGACGTGACGACAGACACGTACATGGCCGAAGTTCTAGACCAGGTCTGTCGCAAACGGCAGCTGGATAAGGCCAACCACGTTTTGAAGATGCCTGGCGGCGGCCCTGTAGTGCTGCTCGACGCCAAAGTTAGCACAATCGGCAGTCTCTCCGACCTGGAGCTGCACCGGCGACGATTCGCAACGGATGGCCCGCTAACCATGACGGGCTCGCCAAGCAGTGCTTCGCCGAAGCTACTGCCATTCTCAGATGGGCCACCGGGGCGCAGGGCCAAACGGACGCACATCATGGGCTCCCACCCGTTGGCGCAGCAGGCCCTCAAGCAGGCGGAGCTCACGGGATCCTGCAAGTCATGGACCGTCTGGCGACTGCGGACAGTCAGGATGATGAGCCAGAGCGAGCGTCGGCTCGAGATTGACGGCGAATACGTCCACATCAAACCAACATCTGCACGTGAAGGCAAGACGACGACGGCACACATGACCCAGATTATCGGATGCAAAGTGTTTGCGAAGCATCCCAACCAGTTCAAGGTACGTACTGCACTTGTTTGTTCAAGATGTTGTGCGGATGCCTCTTCAAGCAGCCGAGTAGCGCCGCGCTTTGCGTCTCAACAGATCCTGCTGCCCAACGGCGCTAGGGAAGCCCTGTTCCAGCGGAATACTGACGATAAGGTTCTTCTAGCTCATCATCTACAAAGATACGGAACCCAAGCGCTACGATTTCGAGGCAAAGAACCCAACGGAGGCTAACGATATGGTGACGGAACTTAAGAAGATGGTCGCCCAGGTCACCGGCTGATAGCTGCGTGTTTCAACGCACCGCCCCGCAAACAGGCAAAATAGACGGACTGGATCGGCCCTCGTTGTGAAGGCAACAAGCGAGACTCCCCTTACTACCGGAGCTTGTTTCGGGAATGGTCGGTCTGCTGTGTTGACCGACCCTTCCGCTGAAGACTGGTATGGACGTTCAGAGGCACCAGGCAGGCTGTGACAGGTCAAAATCCGTTGAGCTTCAACGTCACAGTGACAGCGACATTCGGCCGACTGGCCTGGAACACGGACTTTTGTCAAGGAATCGCGTCACTGATTGGATAGGGAGGCATCGAAAGCAGGAATTCCATTGCACCAGCCAACCACAGCGGATCTGAGAGACGCTGGTAACGGAGGATCGCTGCAGTGGGTAGATGGAGGTTTACACGGACGAGCTGACGCGTCCCGCACTCCAGTCATGGTGGTCCCCACCACACGAACCTGGACTCTCTCGTGCGTGCGGCGGGTGATTCTGGCCCACCATGTCGCAATTGGGGATTCGGGTCCTTCAAGCGCTAGAATACTGGGGTAAAACAAGGCAAATGGGGGCGGAAGACTGGGGGCGGGCGGCCCTCGCGCTAGCCAGACTTGCCAGACCAGGCTTTTGCCCATGGCCGAGTGAGGCGCTGGTTTAGTTGATGCGCCTGGGAAGAAGGCCGTCGAAGGCCTGGGTTTGTCAACAACAAAGCTCACAGTCGACCACTGGGCACTTTGATCCACAGCATAGCTCCGATGATCGGTCTGACCGAGGCCTCCTCGGCCAAGCAGCGAGAGAAAAGCGTAGAATTCAACGGACAACAGACGACTGATCACACTCCAATGCCTATTCGCTTGCAAAACAGCGTGATCACAAACGATAGGGGTCCGACCAGGAAGAAGCAACGTCCACCTATGAGACTGCTCCATCTCAGGAGATTTGCCTGGCTCGGCACTCAACAGGCGAAGTGCGATGAATGGACAGACCCTGGGAGTGAAAGCGTCTCAAGTACCTGTTCCTGCAGAGAAGCAACACTGTGCCGTGTCTGGCATCCACGTCAGTCTCACATTCGGACGTTGCTTGATTCTGATCGTGTCGGACGTCTAACTCATGGATGGGTTCGGGACCGCAATGTGCTTTGGAGGTCGTCTCCGAAACCTCATCTCTCCCATTCTGCCGGCGACTTGGTCGAAACGACGGAACATTGGCAAGTGACGCAATGAACGGAGCACCAAGACGCTGCAACAGTGAACCTGGTTGTTGGTGGACGAAAGCCGATGCACGGGACAGGGGTACCTAGACGCAGGCTCCTTGTACCTCAGGCCGCGCAGGGATGCATGCTCGAAGCTCAACGGCACCCGGTCCTCTGGCGGCGGACGTCATGGGGTGATGGCGGGGAGGAACCGCAATTGCAGTGCAGTTCCCATGTTCCAGCGGCCCTGGCCAGCCTTGCCGCCCTGCCGCCCTGGCGAGATGGATGACTTGGGGTTGGAGTCTGAAGCTCGTCTCGCTCGCCAGCAGTTTGCGGTCACGCTCTCGCCCGCTCGCTTGCACAGCGCAGGAGCACGCAGTACGCCAAGCGGCTCTCACCCCCCCGGCCGGCTTGGCTGACGGTAGCGTCCACCTCGCCTGTGCTGGATTCTGGGAGCAAGCTTTCTAGCGACCTTTGGCGGGATGGCCAGTTTGTGTGTCTCTGGCGCGCGTTCGCATGCGCAAGAAGAGTGCGTACCACGAGCCCTGCCAGGTCAGCCGTCCCAGAGGCGGCGAGGATGGGCATTTGCGAATCCGGCACGTGTGTTTTG